TTTTGGCGGGCCAATGACAGGCCGGGCCAAAACGGGCCGGGCTGGCCCGTTTTGCCATCCCTAGAAATAGGAGTTGCTTGAGAAAGAATAGCTTAGGTGGACAAAAGCAAACGAACTGAAACCGAACAAAGATTGCGAGGTTGTCGCTGTGACATTGTCATGCCATATTTGAAAGTGGCAAGGAGTTCGCTTTTAGTTACCGAGGGAAGAAGATGGGTCCTCTAACACCCACACCCACCATGGATATCATCTATGATCTCATTGAAGAGGCCAAGCTCCGTTTTCTCTGGTGGGCTCTTTGTATATTTGCCATTTCCTATTTCTTCACTCGTAAGTTATTCCTATTCCCATTCATGCTGTCTTTCTTTCAATCTCTCGGTCTCACAATGATTCCTTGTTGTTGCATTCGCTGTTTTTCTATCTGGGTTTTGCTTCAAGACTCCAAATTTTGAGTCTTTGATCGAAACTTGCAGTTTTCTCATCTGGGTTTTGCTTTAAGATTCCAAATTTTGAGTCTGTGATTGAAGCATGCAGTTTCCCATCTGGGTTTTGCTTTAAGACTCCAAATATCGAGTCTTTGATTGACACTTGCCATTTTTCTATGGACAAAACTTAGATGGATATCCTTAAGTGCTTTTCCTAATGTTCTTCGATCAGAACTTGAGTTTCAAACCTTGGTAAGTTATATTTTTGTTACTCTAATAAAACTCCATTACTGATTCGAAAACGACATAAAAAAAATATTTTAGGAATTGCATCTAAATTTTTTCCTTTTCCTACCGGAGTTGCTTTAAGACTACAAATTTATAGTCTTTAATTGATACTTGTCATTTTCCTATCTAGGACAGGGTTTTGTTTTAAGGCTACAAATTTTGAATCTTTAAATGTGCAATTTTTCTATCTCGGTTATGTTTTTAAGACTGCCAATTTTAATGTATTTATTTTATTGTTGTTCACCAATCACCACAGACACAAGTAAATCAATGTGGATGAATCTTCCCATGTCCATTCTGTTTGTTGCTGCTCTGCGCATTCTTTTGAACAAAGTGGAATTCCGTTGGAAGATTCGGCCACCTAGATTACAGACTTACCTATCTCATTTGGAGAAAAAACAGCTGCCTCTGAATGATGAACACCTCTCTTCTTCACCTTCTCCTCCCAAATGGAAGAAGAAGATTGATTCTCCTGTCGTGGAGGCTGCCTTGAATGACTTCATTGATTTGATATTGAAGGATTTCGTGATAAATATGTGGTATGCAGAAATTACTCCAGATATGGAGTTTCCTGAGCTGATTCGTGAGTTAATCATGGACGCTCTTGCTGAAGTGTCAGTGAGGGTTAAAGAAATAAACCTTGTTGACTTGCTCACAAGGTACATACCTTTCTATTATTTGCTTCTGGAGAAAGGAACTTGGTATGTTCTGTAGTTTGTTATGTGTCACTTGTGATTGCAGGGACATAGTTGATTTAATAGGTGATCATATAGACCTTTTCAGAAGAAATCAAGCTGCTATAGGTGTTGATGTTATGTTAACCTTATCTTCTGAGGAGAGAGATGAAAGATTAAAATTCCATCTGTTGAATTCTAAGGAGCTTCATCCAGCATTAGTATCTGCAGAGAGTGAGTACAAGGTGTGAGTGGAGTGTCTGGATGTCGTCTATGTTTGCTTTCACAAAATGCATATCATCCCTTATCTGATAATTTCTCTTTCTGTAGGTTCTTCAGCAGCTAATGAGTGGAGTATTAGCTACAGTACTAAGAAAACGAGAAGCTCAATGTCCTGTTGTTCGATCTATAGCTCGGGAAATTTTAACTTGCTTGATATTACAACCTCTCATGAATTTGGCAAGCCCTGCGTATGTTGAATAATTTGTCTTATATATTTCATTTACTTTAAGCCTTGTTGGGTGGTGGGCCTTGATAATTTGTAACCTGTTGAAGGGTTTCCTTTGCCAATATCTTTAGATAGAAATCAGAACTTCTTAAAGTTTTGTTAATGGTTTTAGCGGGTGGGATTTTGGATCAGACCTGGTATATGTGGGACACAGAAAACCTTCCTAGTTCCTACCATGGTTTTGTTGGGCTTTTTGTTGATGATCTTCAATGTTGAGATATGAAAGAGTGGATAGAAGTATGAGTTACTTGTACTTCCTGGCAGTAGCTAGTAAACAATTTGAACATAAGGCCAACAGGAAATATTATGAGATTAAGTGTATTGAGATTTGGGTTGAGGAATGGGCCTTTAAGTTTGCATAAGAAGAAGAATACAGTGTGCTGTGCCTGTGATCCCATCTTCTAATTGTGAGTCTTTTTTGAAACAATAGGTTTGGGTGTTTCCCATTAGTCATCTTACTCATGGTTGTTTTATCAGAAAGGAATTACTAAACTTACGTGAATAACTTAACAAGTGTAAATAACTTGACTGAGATTTATATGTAAATATCTTAACAAGAGACCAGCATAGCAAGTATCAAATAATTAAAATTTATGTGAAGATCGTCTGCATGGTAATCAATGCTCTGATAATCAAAATTGTTTGTTTAAGAATACCATTGCATACAACTTAAGTGCTAACTAATAACATATTAACTATTTTAGAGAGTCTTCTTTGATGAAGTTTTTTCCCCCTTAAAATGTAATTTTGTTTGTTTCCGAGACTTGAGAATCAAAGAAAGTACGTGTTACCTATATCAAACTCTCAAGGGACTAATTTAGTATCTGATTACAAGTTTGGAATATCTTGTCTACTGATCCAAGTGAAAAAAACTATTTAGCATGTTATCTAATCAGTTGACAACATTCTAATGCACAAACATTGCAGAAACTGGATTCTCATCCTGATTAACCTATAACATTGGTTACTTCTGAAAATGAAGAATTTTAACTAACTTATTCCAATTTCCATTCACAAAAATGTATTTGTCTTTATGATCAGGTATATCAATGAGCTGATTGAATCCCTTTTACTTTTCCTTAATGAGGAGGGTATAAATTGGATGACGGTCGGCGATCATTCAACTAATACAACTCATAATCATGGTAATTCTGCTGCTGGGGGTGGACATGATAATCATACAGCCTCAGCTGATTGGGCACAAATGCTGGAGGCTGCAACTCAGAGAAGAACTGAAGTTCTTATGCCTGAGAATCTGGAGAACATGTGGGCAAGAGGGAGGAATTATAGACGGAAACAGCATAAAAATATCAAAGTTGGCTTTCAGGACCCTTCTGGGAAATATCCGGCTACAGATGCAATTCCAGAACGAAAGTCTCCTCTGTATTCTGTGGGTTCAGATCCCCTCCTAATTGTTGGAGGCACAAATAGGTCAGAGTCTTCACCAGATCCTGACAAGGAGTTCTCTTCTGAAGCAGATCATCATTCTGATGAAGTGAAAGATTTCAAGGACTTCACTTGTAAAAAATATAAAGATCCGCTCAAGAGATCCAGCAGTGGTTCTCTATTGGGAATCCAAACTCACAAGGCAGGGTCCCCAAGGGCAGATTTCAATGCCCCTGAATTTGAGAAATATGGTGAAGGATTTTGGGGCAAGAGTGGTTCTGACATGGTTGTTAAGCCCAAGCTTCGGTGCCGGGTATACTTTTGATTCATACTATTATAGTGTTCACTCTTATATAACAAAACGGATTCAAGTTGTGATAGATGGAATATTTTGCTGTGGGCACTTCCTTTTATTCTATTTGATTGATGTTTGCTGTCTAATTTTACACTTCAGGTAATAGGAGCATATTTTGAGAAACTGGGATCCACATCTTTTGCTGTCTATTCAATTGCAGTGACTGATGGTCAAGAGAAAACTTGGTTTGTTAGAAGAAGGTACGGTTTTCCTTTCATTCATTTTTATAATAGTGGGAGTGCACTAGTTATGTTTGTTTGAATTTGGATAATTTCCAGTAGGTTAATAAGAATTGGGTTTATACTGATTGTAAATTGTAGTGTTTCGGTTTTTAGTTTTGACCATGCAATAAAATATTAGGAGCACTCAATTGTATTTTTTGCTAAACCACTCCATTTTCCTCATTTTTTTAGTTTAAACTAATCCTAGATATTAGGGAAAAACATGGAGTTTCAAATTGTTTTTCTCCCTTCATATATTTATATTTGTGCTTTAACAATTCTGAACCTTCTTTTGGTGATATTCAGATACAGGAATTTTGAGCGATTGCATAGGCATCTAAAAGATATTCCCAATTATGCATTACATTTGCCTCCCAAAAGGATATTTTCCTCGAGCACAGAGGATGCCTTTGTCTATCAGCGTTGCATTCAACTTGATAAATATCTCCAGGTATTTCCAGTCATTTTCTATATTTTAACATGAATGAACCATCATTTTAGTCCTTGAAAATGTATAGCGTTGTCACGTGAGTTCCTAAAACTAAGAAAATTCTAAACAAGTCTCTAAAAGTGCAACCCATCAATCACATTTGTCCAAAATGCAAAGGAATGTTTGACTTAAATAATAATATTAACATATATTTAGGGACCAAAACGACAATAAGTGATTAAGTTTATGGACTTAGATGAAACAATTGGAAATTTTAGGGACATATTTGGAATTTCCTTAGTTTTAGGAATTAATGTGACAATGCGTTATATTTTCAGGGTCCAAAATGGTGATTTACTCTTTTAACATCTATATCATTGCATCAAATATGCTGTCTTGCTTCAGGACCTTCTATCAATAGCTAATATAGCTGAACAACATGAAGTATGGGACTTTTTTAGTGTTTCCTCAAAGGTTTGTATCTGCTTGCTATTTCTTATCATACATCAGATAAGTGACTGTTATATCACTTTTTTTGGTACTTAAAGATGGGAAAATGACAAACTAACAACCTTTTTCTTTCCTGTTTTTCACCTGAAGAACTACTCTTTTGGGAAATCTTCTTCAATGATGAGGACCCTGGCAGGTACATAGTTTAAACATTTTGGATTTTTGTCATACTTTTAAGTGCTTAAATTATATCTAAGCATGGTCATCCACAATTAGTATTCTCTATCATGTCCCCTCATTTAAGGGCCTTTTGGGCTCAACGCATAAACAATGCAAAGGCCCTCCTATTCTAAAACTCAACTTTTATTAGAAAATCGGGAGTGGCAAGGATTGAACTTTAAATCACTTGTCATAGAGGCTCTGATACCATATCATGAACAAATTATCCCCAAAGCTTAAGTTGATAGGTGAAGACAAAAATGATTTTATATTACATCCAACGTTTTTATCATTGTTGTTGGCTTGTTGGGCAGGATATACCAGGGGCGTTGGCAGCTGCCATAATGTATTATTTATGTTAACAATTGACAAAATCTTTCAGTTAATATAGAATAAGCATCTTCTATGCCTTTAATGTTTGGTATTTCACATTAAAGCCAGGGCTTATTTTTATAGGAAGTTCTTCCAATGAATTTATTTATCCCAAATTGATAGAAAAATGTTTTATAAATAGCTTTTCTCTTGTATTTATCTTATAACAGGAATAGATTGCTGTAGAGCTACTAATGAGAAGAGTGTGTTGAACTTTAATATGCTATTTTACTATTTTTGCATCAGAGCATAAGCAACCCCCATTGGAGATGCTCTCAGTCATTTATTTTGTTTTCCAAAATTTAAGCATTTATTTATTAAACTTACTGGTTATTTGCAAAGGTTTTTCCACATAAAGAATTTGCTTTTCTTTTTTTTTTTTTGGTTTTTCCCTTAATGTAAGGAACCAAGAATTAGTAATGAGAAATAAAAAACAGATTTTATTGAATAAGATGAAAAGAATACAAAATAAGAGAGAAATATCTCCTCCAAAGGATTTCCCCTTTTACTAGAGCCACTGCTCTATTGCCACAAAGACTCACTAATCCGAATACCTCCCCTGTACCAAGTATCCTCCTATTTATAGATACGATGGGCCTAACCCATGGTATCCTTCTAATTAGTGACTACTCTAATTCTCTTTATTCTATATTCTAACAATATCACCCCCTCAAAATCAACCTATCAAGGTTGCAATTTAGAAAGAAAAAAAATTCCTGAGCAATAAAAGTTGAAAATAGTTTTCTCCTCCCAGATCCCTCTGTTGGAAGCACAATGAGCATGCTACTTTTTCATGCAGCACCTGCTGGACCATGGTTATTGCAAAAGATTTCCAACTTTTGCCAAAAACCTAGGAGAAAGGTTAGCTTGGCTATGAATAGGATCAATGTTAGGACCTTGGAAATATAAAGAATATTTTATGAATAAAAAAGAGTTATAGGTAGTAATCTACTTCCCTCTTTTCCCAGAGTATAGGCTTTGAACAATTGAAGAATAACTTCCCTGTTTTCCCTATAGACTTCCCCAGTCCCTTTTTGTATTCCTCCTAACAAACTTCCTAGATAATCTGTTAGTAACAGGCCCCCAATTAGGAATGTTTATGTTAGAAAGGGCAAAGAGCTGGGCTACGACCCAAAGGATTAGAATAGCTAGTTAGTAGTTGTGACAGCAGTAAATAACTGAATTTGTTACATGTAATAGTAGGAGGCTAATAAACAGGGAAAATGGGAGTAAACAATTAGGAACTTGGGGGGAGAGATTCAGGCTCTCGGATTCCTGAGGCTTTTCAGTGTAAAACATTCATCTTGTTTCTCAGAAATTTTCAATTGATTTATCTTACAACTGGTATCACAACTCTCGATTCTGGGAGATTGTTCATGGTGCATACAAGGATGGAGGCCAGATTAGACAATTTGGAGAAGGGTTTCAAGAATCTTTTGAAGAGACTCGATGAGGGAGCACAAGAGACGGGGAAAAGGTTTGAGGAGATGATGGAGAATATTAATCGGGACTGGTAGCAAAAGGGAAATTCAACTAATCTATCAGGTGAAAGTGGCAGCAGCGTAGGCAGAAACCTTGGAGAAGGAGTGGGAACTATGAGTAGGTCAATTGAAGATTGGTGGAGGAGATTGGAGATTCCACTCTTAGGAGATGATGCATATGGGTGGGTGAGCCATGTGGAGAGGTATTTCAATCTGAAAGGCCTCTTGGAGCAAGAAAGGTTACAAGCGGTGATGGTAGCAATGGAAGGGAGAGCTCTGACATGGTTTTAATGGTGGGAATTCTACATTGTGAATCACACTTGGGAAGATTTTGGAATTGCTATAATGAGGAGATTTCAGTCCTCATTGGCGCAGAACCCATACGAATTGTTGTTAAGTCTCAAGCAAACAACGTCGATGGAAGAATATAGGGAGAAATTAGAGTTATATGCTGGGCCACTAAAAGGGACCGACCTGAAATATTTGAAGGGGATCTTTTTGAATAGATTGAAAGAAGTGGTAAGAGTAGAACTAAAGTTACATCAATTAGGCTTTCTACCTAAATTGATGGACTATGCCTAGAGGATCGATGAGAAGAACAGGTTGCTGAGTAATGGAGTTTCATGGAATAGTAAGGGAGGTAGTTTATCTAAAAATTATCCTTCATCAAGAACAGTGACATGGGAGATTGGAGTCAAGAATCAAGATCAAGCAGATAACGTAGGGGCCATTTCCACAACAACATCCAACAACGTTAAGACAACTGGGTCATACAGAGGTAAGGGGTTCAAGAAATTAACGGATGCTAAATTTCAAGAGAAGTCAAGGAAAGGATTATGTTTTATTGTTTTAGATGTGATGAGAAATTCAGGTTAGGGCATGTGTGTAAAAGTAAGCATCTGCAGGTGTTAATTTTGAATGAAGGGTATATTGAAGAAGAAGAAGAAGGAGGGGGTAGCAGTTTCGAATATGGGGAGGAGCTAGAGCATAAGACATTACAACTCTCCATGTATAACATCACAGGATTAACTTCCAATAAGTTCATCAAAATGTTGGGTGATATAGGTGGAGAAAGAGTGACAGTGTTGGTGGATTGTGAAGCATCCCACAATTTTATATCATCTACCTTGGTGAGTGAAAAACAACTCCCTGTAATTGAAACAACAACTTACACAGTCAAGGTTGGAGATGGAAGAAAAATCAAGTGTGCAAGGGTTTGTCATCAATTGATACTTCACATTCAAAAACTGAAAATTCAACAGGATTTCTTCATATTTGATTTAGGGGGTGTGGGTGTAGTGTTGGGAATGGAGTGGTTAACCAAATTGGGAGAAATTAGAGCCAACTTCAAGAACCTCACTTTGAAATTGCCCACTAGTAAAGGAATCATGGTGTTGAAGGGGGAAACAACATTGTCCAGAATTGAAGCTTCTTTTCGAGCAATAGATTAGGTTCTACGAGATGAGGGCCAAGGATTTTTTTTAGAATGTAAAGAGTTGCTTAAAGAATTTGATGCTAGGGACACCATTCCACAGGGAATTCAGAAGATTTTGGATGATTCTAAGGAAGTGTTCAAGGAACCTAAAGGTTTAACACCAATTGGGAGACAAGATCATGCTATTGTGTTGAAGGAGGGGGCTGACATTCCCAATTTGCAGCCATACAGGTATCCTCATTATCAAAAGACGAAAATAGAAAAATTAGTAAATGATATGTTGATTTCAGGTGTTTTAAGGCCTAGTGTGAGTCCCTATTCTAGCCCAATTATCCTTGTTAAAAAGAAAGATGGAGTGTGGTGGTTTTGTGTTGATTATAGGGCCTTAAAATTACAGTCCCGGATAAGTTCCCAATTCCCATAATTGATGAGTTGTTAGATGAGTTAGGTGGAGCTATTATCTTTTCTAAATTCGATCTTAAATCTAGATATCATCAAATTAGGATGAAGAATAAGGACATTCATAAAACTGCTTTTAGGACACATGAAGGGCACTATGAGTTTGTGGTAATGCCCTTTGATTTATAATGCTCCTTCTTCTAATCACTAATGAATGAGGTACTACGACCATTCTTGAGAAAATTTGTATTGATATTTTTTGATGATTTATTAATCTACAATAAGGGAGATGAGGACCATGAAAAACACCTTCGTGCAGTTCTGCAACTGTTGGAAGAACATAAACTGATTGCTAATAGAAAAAAGTGTAGTTTTGGCCAGAGACAAATAGAATATTTGGGCCATGTTATTTCAGCTCAAGGAGTGGCAGCAGACCCTAAAAAGGTAGAAGTCATGATGTCTTGGCCAACCCCTAAGGATGTGAAGGCGTTAAGGGGTTTTTTAGGGCTCACGGGTTATTATAGGGGGTTTGTGAGGAACTATGGCAGCATTGCCTAATCGCTGACACAACTGTTGAAGAAAGATAGTTTTCATTGGTGTAAGGAGGCTTAAGAAGCTTTTGACACGTTAAAAGCAGCCATGGCAGAACTACCAATACTCAGTACGAGATTTTTCAAAAACTTTTATTGTAGAGAAATGCGTCTAGTAAAGGGTTGGGAGTAGTTTTGCTTCAAGAGGGCAGACCAGTGGCTTTTCTTAGTCAAAGATTGTTAGATAGGGCCCAAATGAAGTTAGTTTATGAAAGAGAATTGATGGCAATTGTCATGGCAATACAAAAATGGAGACATTATTTGATGGGAAGGCACTTTGTCATTCAAACAGATTAGAAGAGCCTTAGATTTTTGACTGATCAACGCTTGTTGAATGATGAGCAGCTTAAGTGGACTTCTAAATTGATTGGTTTTGATTTTGAAATAAAATATAAGCCTGGATGTGAGAATGGGGTAGCAGATGCACTTTCTAGAAAAATGACATATGCAACCATCTCTGTTGTTCAATTTCAAGATTTAGAGGAGTGGGTTGATGAGGTACATTCTGATCCCAAGTTGAAAACTATTATCCAAGATCTCCTACAGAACCCAAATGCACACCCAGGGTTCTCTTTACAAAATGGCAAGTTGTTGTAACACGGGAAGTTAGTTTTGCCAAGGGATTCTCCACAAATTCCTACTTTACTATCTGAATTTCATAACTCAACAGTGGGAGGTCATTCAGGTTTTTTTAGAACAT